CTCGCATTTGCGATTGGGTTCGCGTATTGGTACAAAATCCAAGCATAGCATACCTAGTGCAGTTCGCAGAGCGATCCATACATTCGGCTGAAATGATGTTGTTGAATGAGCAAGGTCATTTTGCAATGGAATTAGTTGCTGTGCAGACTGAGTGATAGGTCCGCTTCACACCAGCAACTAATGGCTTTAGCTCCATGTGAACCAACATGTTTCGATAAGCTCACGCACGAAAATCCAAAGTAGTTAAGCAACTTTGCTTTGCTGCACATAGCTCACAAAGCCTAACCCGCCTTTGCTTTGCTATGCATAGTTCACAAAGCCTAACCCGCCAATTGGAAAGATTACAGGAAAAAATATAAGTAGCGATGTGTGCCGAACTAGACAGAATTGCGACCACGCGTTTTGCGCTACTCTGCCCAGTAAACACTTGATTTTAATGGTGATTTTAAAGATGGCAGAAATATTGCCTGATTCCGAGCTACAGACCCGTCAAAAATTTCATTTGCTCGCATTTGAAACCCATGTGTAAGCAAAGGCTGAATTTAAATCCGTGGAGTCGTGCACGCACAGAAAACATCCGAAAGTTTCAGCCTCCTAACTTTTCTGATTCCAGGTCAAGCGCATACGAAAAGAAAGCAGACTTGGGAGCTGAATCCGAAATTCTAAACATGATGTACTTTCCTACTTCTCGTTTATTCGACTCTCGAATTGAAAGAATGTTCATAATTTCCAGCTAAAGCTATTACAAATTATGATTCAGAACTGACTACCAGACTAAGGCGCATTCAAAAAATGAAATCTTTGGGTAGCATACAGCAAAAATATATTTGCTAAAATTTCTGCCAATAAGTTCCTAGTTGCTCTGCAACTATGGGCAAAATTCAAACTCACACAGAGACAAGGACTTGACAATTCGCGTATTACTGTGCGGCTGTAACATAAAACGGATGAAAATAAATTATGCCGCTTTAGTAAAATGAAATGGCGTTGCAGAAACAGAAGTGGGAATAGCTTTTGAATGCCAACGAAATCTTAGTCGACTGCTGAAAAGAATTTGGACTCAGTAACGCCAAAATAGTTTTTTGCTTGTGCGTCTGACGAATTCCATGAAAAATAAATGTGAAATCTTTTGTTCACGTCCCAAAAGAGAGCTCGAAAAACCAAATTTTATTTAGCTATTCAGCTAAGCACTCAAGTTCACTTACACAGCTAAGGAAAGCTTGACTGATGGACTTTTTTTTTTGCATACCAATGAGCGGTGTTACAAGTGCCACTACGGCAAGAACCAGTAACACGTGGAAGTGAGCAACCACCCGGGGAAATTTTGCAGAGATAGCAAGCATACATCGAACACGCGTTAGCTATTAACTGGATGTCCGAAGGTCCCAGTTTAGTTGGGTCGACGTAAGTATCACAGTAACATCACGAGCATGAGACACCAAACCCCAGGAAGGTCGTCGTTTTCTCGCCATTTTGTCAAGCATGCTAGAAGGAGTATGCTCAGTGTTTAATGCAATACACACAAGAAGCCTGGTAATCGAAAGTTCGCTGTTAGTTCTTTTGTTCTTAGCGATAATGAAGAAATCTAACACAGTTTTATTTGAGCTAATTTTCTGTGCATCAGTCTGTGCTTTCGAATTAAAACTATGAGTAGAAGCAAAAAACAAAATGCGATCGATCCTGTTCCCTACAGAGAGTGAATTACCAGAGAGAAGCGCAGAAGGGAGGAAGGAGCAGGAGCGAGGATTGGGGATATAAAATCAAGATTGGTTTTAATACTGAATTTTTCTCACCTGGAGTGGCAGCTGTTGTTGTTGTCGTCGCTTCTGTTGTTGTTGTTGTTGTTGTCTCCTCTTCCTTTGCCGCTGCCGTTGTTGTTGTTGTTGTTGTCTCCTCTTCTTTTTCAGCTGCCGCTTTTGTTGTTGTTGTTGTTGTT